TTTAGTTAGTTGGTTATGTATTTTTTAAATAAAAAAAAAATTTTGAATTTACTTACTTGTAGCCGGAGTTAGAGGCGATCGAATACTTATGACCGCTACTGTATTTACCTTTTGAGATTTTATTTGAAGTTACGAAAACTAACATAATAACATATACGTTGCAGTTAAATTCTGAATCATTAAATAGATACTCTAAGTCTTCTTTCTTGACTTTTATTCCAGTTTCTTCTTCAGTTTTCATATTGCTGCTTTCATTGGATTTTCATTTCCTTCTACTTTTCCTCTAGAAGATTGCCATATTCCATATATAACTTCTCCTTTTCTAATTGAGAGAAATATTCCATCTTTATCATACAAAATATTAAGTACATATTTGGGATAATTAACTTCCTCTTCATATGTTTCTACTTTATCAGCCTAAGATTTGGTTGAATCTTTTTCTTTCGCTTGATTTCAAATGTTAGTATCTTCTTCTTGTTCTTTAATTTTAATGATGTAGCTATCTGTTTCTTCTGCATCATCAGATCTATATTATAATCCTTATTTGATTATTTTATCGAGTTTATCTTCAATATTTATAACTTGAATTCTTTTTCCAATTACACATTGTATTGGAATTATATCTTTATCTAATCTAGAGGTAAGAATTATTTCATTATTTTTAAAGTCAACATTAACTTTATTTTTCTTGCACCAATCGATTTCTAGTAATAAGGTTTGATCAGTTGAATCAATGACTTAAAAAGTCATATTGATAAAAATGCCTTGAATGATTAATAACACATTTTTAAGTATTCCCAATGCTTTTCTTTTTGTTCATTTGCAGTAATAATGATCATTTGTGAAGATTCATCGATATCTAATCTAAGTTTCTTCATTAATTTATGTATCATAATGCTTACTGTAGCTCCTGTATTGATAATAGCAGTTACAGAGTTTTTTTTAATTTTAACATAACATCTCAATGTCATAGTTTATTTCTCTTCTTCTAAAGTACTGGTAAATGCTACTTTTCTTTTAATTTAGGTCTTCTCATTCCTTGAAGGAGTTTTTGTTGCTGCAATCTAAATTGCATCATTTGTCTTATATTAACATTGGCTTTAATGTTCATAAGATCATCCCAAATATTGTAAGGTTTAATATTATCTAAAAGTGATGGTCCTCTAGGTATTCTCTTTCTAAGTTTAGTAGTATTGTCTACTACTGTTTGAAGTATCTGTTCAATTATTTCTATTGGTTCATTAATTGTCTGGAATCAAGTTCATTTGGTATTAGTTTCTCTTTGTAATTTAGATCTTTTTCTTCTAATTGCTAAAAAGACTTCTTGTTCAAGTATGTTTACTTCCTTTTTGTTTTAATCATCATTTCTGATTCTTCAGTTATCTTGAGGTAAAACTTTTTTTGAAAGAAATCGTCTGGCTACATGATCTTTTTCTCCATATCTGAAACAGATTAATTCTTTCCTTAATTTGCCTTCAGGATTGTAAATTTTTTTTTGGCTAGATTAGTGGTTAATGCGGCTATAATGTTTACTTGATTCAGAGCCATTTATTCAAATTGTTTAGATAATTTTTCAATATTATCTTCAACTTTTGGTTTCTAAAATCATGTTCTATTGCATAATATCTTTCAGCTTTAACAGTTTTAGCTTGAGTAATAGCAACATCTAAATTGGCTGGATTTTGAATTGCGACTAAGATTGCTAATTCCTTATTTAATCCACTTAAGAATATTCACATTTTAAAGACGTTTGGAATTCCTCCTGCATCTATTATATTTACTAACTTCTTAAATTTAGATGCATAGGTTTCAATTTTTTCATTTTCTTGTTTCAGATTCATTAATTTATATTACCATCTGTGTAATTTTTCTTGTGATGAAAAGCATATCAAGAATCTTCTTTAAATCCTGTATTCATATCTCTATTCTATCTGTTAATTGTATTGCTTACTAAATTATATCAGTCAGCTGCTTCTTTCCTTAACATTCCTACTGCTATTGCTACTTTTCTATTGTCTGACCATTCATTAGCTTCTTTTGCTTTTAGGAATATTTCAATCCATTCCTGAGCATCTTTACTATCTTTTCTATAAAAAGGGTCAACTTTTACCATAGAACTTCCTGTTGCAAGTGGTGCTGGAATATTAATACTATTAAATCCATTGGTTATACTAATTGTAATTTGCATTATTTATACATTGAGTTAATCTGCTGTCATAGCAATATTTGCAAGATTTGATGGAAGGTTTCTCCATAATTAAAGTAGTTGGTATTATGTGAGATGATAAGAATATTTTGATATATTACTTCTAGTTTAAGGTAACACATAAATCCAAGGCTAAATACTAAAGATATTGCTACTTTTTCTGCTTGTTCAGTATCAAGACTATGAGGATTATTAATGTCAAAATACTGTCCTATTTTTTCAAAATATCATTTACTTAGAGACAAATATGTATATGCATGATATTATTAGTGAATCTACTGATAAAACTGTTAAAATTAAATGCTTGGGTTTCTAGAAGGTCAATGACAAATTCTACAAGACTTATCAAAAATTTTATGAAATGTGTCTTTCCTAAATATTTGAAGTGGTTATCTGAGTATTATTTTCTTATTTTACTATATAGGTCACAATTCATGTACTAGTAGAAATCTCTAAAGTATTTCAATAAGTCTCTTCTGATTTCTAATAGATTATTCCTGTCTTTGTATAGGTCGAATAAGTAATTGTTAAGAATTTTTAATCCTTTTTTGACTTCCCATTTAACTAGATAGATTATGTCAAGTGGTAATTTACTTCTTTTATGAGTAACTAATCCTCTAATTTCTTCTCTAATATTAGGATAGATGTAAATATAGCTAAGAAATTCTGTGAGAGTATTCAATTATTGTTATAATTCTCTGTTTACTAAAAAGATTTCAATGTCAATTTCTTTAAGATAGTTGATTATGTTGTTAATATTCTTTTCTAATGTTAATAATTCTTGAATACTTATGTAAATTGTACTGAATTATTATTTTTGTTCTTTATAAGAAATACCAAATGTTATAATAGTTTCGTAACTTTAAATAAAATCTTAAAAAGGATAAATAAAACTAAGACAATTACTCAAGGAATCATGAATGAGAATTCACAATAATGTCAAAGAATTATTCTCAATATAAATACGTGAGATAAATACAAAATAAACATAAGATAACTCAAAGATATTTCAGAGATTACACTTCAGAGACTCCAGTTAATACAGCAAATCAATATAATATCGTATTATAAGTTCACTAACAATAATTAAAGGGATTGTATAAATATAAAGGATCACAGATAATTTATAATAATTTCAAAGGGTTTGCGAAGGATAAGTTTATACTTGATTAATTATACTCCTTTATTAATATATAATATAAGATTAATATCTCGTCAGTACTGAAACTCAAAAAAATACAGAGATATTTATATATGTTGAATATAGATGAGGGACGAAACCCCTTAATAACAGTCGAAGCTTAGACGAAACTATATTAAAATTATAATAAGGGATATGACGAAACCCTTTCGATACGACGAAAGCCGAAACTGTCGAAACTATATTAAAAACATAGAAAAGGGTATGATGAAATTATTTTGAGAAGGTTTCGACAGGCATCTATAATGTTGAATAAATAATAAAATAAAATAAACTAAATATATCAAAGGAAATAAAGTTGCCATTTTGCTAGACAATAAAGTTATCATATCAATAAAATTGCTAGATCTATAGGCAACTAAATGAATATCTATGATCTACATGATTATCAAAGGCAATAAAATTATTATTTAAAGATTTGCATAATTGATTTATAGCAATAAAATAGACAAAATTATCTTTTTAGAAGATTTATATAGAAATAAAATTAACTTCATATTCTACCAATTAAATTTATCTAAAATTTTATCTGTCATAATGCGCAGAACAAATTCCTCCTGATGTTATTATTTGATTCCAAAAAATGGTTGGATAGACTCTAATTTAATAGTAAAGTATATAGATTATCTCAATAATATAAGAATAAAAAACAGGTCTCAAGGAAATCTAGCAATGTTTATATATAATTCTTTTAAAGGTTATTTGGAAAAAATTAGTAAAAAGAAAGTTTCATAAAATTGACTTTAATCTTGCAGTAATTTCAGGTGGGTTGACTAGCATTTATTAGTTACTGGATATTGTAATAAATAAACCATTCAAGAATAATCTTCGTAAAGAATAGCATATTTAGATAGCTGATAGTGGTACTGAAGAAACTGCTAAGGGAAACCTTTATCGTGCTAGATTTAGTGATATATGTCCATGGGTTAAAAAGTCTTGGAAAAGGATTTCTTGATGAAATTATTATAGAATTCTTTAAAACTTGTGAAATATTGATCGATTTGGATTCTGATTTAGAGATCCTTGATAAAGATAATATCGATAATAGTGATGACATCGATAATGATAATAATATTGATGATGATATTAAAAATGATATTGAAGATAATATTGATGATCATTTTTAATGTAATTTATATATTGAAACATTAAAAATAAAATTTTTTTTTATATATGGTATTTTATAAAATTTAATTAAGTTGCTTATTATTGGGTATTAAGTTAATTTGAGGATTGCTTATTTTTGGGAATTTCTTATTTTTAGAGGAATACGGTAATTACTCTTTAGTTTAATTAGAAAGTTTTTGAAATATTCTTCATTTATAATACGTTAGTTAATTACTTTTATAAAAAGATATAGGTTATGGTAAAATATTTTAAATTTGACTTATTATAAAGAATTTTCATATTTGATTTTTTTAAAATTTTCAGCAGTCTACTTTATATTATTGCATAGATAATTATGAGATCTTACTTATTTATTTTATAATCTATTCATAAAGCCTCTTTTAACTTCAGAATAAAAGGTTCTTTATTTATAGCTAAGCTTTTTACTTTTCCTTTTATTTCAGTTATTCAATTTGAACTTGTAGCAACTTAACATCCTATTATATTATAATTAATGTCAAAGTGCTCTACTATCTTAATATATCTATGTTCTTTTACATAAATATAACTTATATTTTTTATTTAATAGAATACAAAATTTGTATATGTTTATTATCTTTTATAATCTTTCATTTAACAATTTTTTTTTGTAGAATATGGCATTTTAACTGAATATTTTTTTCATAATTTATGTGATATTTGATGATTAATATAATTAATAATCATAAAATTTACTTACAAATTAGTAGAGTTTTAGATTATTCATTGTAAATTAGTCAAAATATCTAAAAATAAGCAAAATATAATAAAAATATGTTGCTTATTTTCAGAGAAATATGATAATTAAAATAAATCTGATAAAGTTTTTTTTAATTATATTATTATTGTTCTTATAATTATTTATTTTATTATTAATATAGAATTCAAATTATCATAATAATGATTTGTGAAGAATAATTATGAAAATTCATAAATTTTACTCAATAAAGCTTTAGATAATTGCTTTAAAAATAAAGTAAAAAAAATTAAATATTAAACATATTTAGTACATGATAAAATATTTACAATTTATAATATTTCTTAATAGTATATATTACTGTATATAACCTTATTTAATCTATTCTGATTTTTTTACAAATATTTTTTTTATAATAATTTATTTAAAATTAAGTTGATAAATTTTCATTAATATTTCAAAAAGATCTTATGTTTATTAATAAAACTAAGAATTTTCTATTTAAATAATTAAAAATAATAAAAATAGTTTAATTCTGATTAGAACATTTTAATGTTAGAAATATTTTATGAATAGAAAATTTATGATAAATCTGCTAAGCAACTAAATTCAAAAAGATGTAGTTTAGGTATTTATAAATAAACTTTGAATTTAACGATTGTAAATAGTTTAAATTAGAAATTAAAAGACTTTTATAAGATTTATTAATTAACAATTATCTATTCAAAATGATAATAAAATAATATTCTAAATAAGAAATAAATAATAAAATTGATATTTCTAAGATATCAATTTAAATATAAAGGTAAAAGTAGACTTACAAATAAAGTAATTTATTATCTATTAAAAATCATTTAAAATAATATACAAATTCAAATAATTAAAATGAAATTTTAAAATAGCAATATGATATGTATAAATCTTGATATTATAACTTCTAAAATTGTCTTCTAAAAATAATAAAAAATAGATAATATTCAATTTGATCAAGAAAATCTGATAGTTAAAATGATATGTAATTAACGTATTATAAAAATAACTTTATTTTTTATTTTTTTCATTTATTGCTTTTTAATTATAAATATTTGCATTTGATTTTTTTACTTATTTTTACTAAGTATAAATTGATTGACTTTAATATTTTACTTATAAATTAAAAAATTTTGATTATAGAGTTTAAATTTTAGAAAAATATATTGGTATTTCTCAATATAAAAATTAATTTTTTATAAAAAAAATTACACTAATTATTAATTTAAAAGTTTAGATAAAATTTAAAATATTTAATTAAAAATAATTCCTAATATTTTGTTAGAATTTTTTTTATAATTTTAAAAAAACTTAAAATTCAAAAATTTAAATTATTTTATAAAATTAAGTAAATTATATTATAGATAAATTTTAATAATAATATTTATTAATATTTTTATTTAATTTTTAAAAATACTAATTATTTTTATAAATAGTTTTATAGTAATTTTTTTTTATTATTATTTTTTTAAAAAAATTTAAACTAATATTATTTATTAATTTTGAAATTTTAATCATATATGAAGTTAAAATTAAAATTCAAAAGTCAAAATATTTTAATGTCAGTATAAAATGATTAATTTATTAGTAAATATAGTTGATTAAAAACATAAATATACATAAGAATATTTTGAAAACAAATCTGAGAATTTTTATTATTAATATAATATTGATCCAAAGATTTTGCATTATAACTAAATATTAATTCTATCTTATTATATTAAATTTTCTAAATAGTAGTATAGCAAACTTCTTAAATTCATTAATTATATTAGTAAAAGCATTAGAAACAATTGTAATAGATTTAGTAATTAAAAAAGAATTATACTAATTTATATAATCATTATTAATTTATTCTTTTTTAAATCATTTCTCAATTGCAAGAAACACATTAACTAATGTACTATTTGAATTATATAAAAACTGCTCAAAAGTAGTATTAACAGATTCATTATATGATATTATTGTATATTTAATATAAATATATTAGTACTAAATACACATACTATAATTGAAATTAAAAGTTAAAATTTATTATGATAATTAAAATGCATTTTGCTAAATAAAATTAATATAATATAAATTATAATTAAATGTATTATAATTAGAGTTCTAAATAGGTCAGATTAGTAAAATTATTCTAATTGAATGATAACAAATTGTTAAATTATTATGATAATAAATTAGAATAATAAAAAATCCAAATGAATAATAAAATATCATTTAAAATAGATAATTAGTCAGAATAATAATAAATTATTCAAAACAAATGATAATAAATTATTTAAATAAAATAATAATAAATTGTTTAAAATAAATGATAAAATATCATTCCATTATTCCTTAGATATGATAAAACTATCTTACCTAAGAAATGATAATACTATCATACCTTAAGAATGATAATATCATCATATCTTAAGAATGATAAAATTATCTTATCTTAAGAATGATAAAATTATCTTATCTTAAGAATGATAAAATTATCATACCTAAAGAATGATAAAATTATCATATCTAAGAAACAATAATCAAATTAAATAAATTTTAATTATTAAATATATTTTAATATTACAATTAATTTCAACTATTATAATTAATTTTAACTATTATAATAATATTGATTTTTCAAATTTTTTAAAAAATAGTTAAAATTGATTTTGATTATTTTAACTATACAAAATGGTTAAAATTAAATATTTTCAGTTTTATATATAGTTTAGATAAATTTTAAACTTTTAATTAAAGATAAAATAAAATAATTTGTTAAGTTTTTTTATAATTTATAAAAATTAATACTAAATTTATCTTTTTTAAATAGATTTAGTTCTTAAATCTTGAATTAGATAAATCTAAAAATAAAAATTTAAAATAAAATTAATATTAATTTATTTTTATAAGATTAATTTAAAATCATAGACAATGGAATTATTAATTTGAAGATAAGTCTTAATAAAATAATTTATTAGTTATTTTTTATTTTTTTAATTTTTTATAAAAAGATTTAATATTTACTAATTTTCTTTTTATTGGTTAAAATAGTTTAAATTAACTAAAAATCAAATGATTAAATTTATGCTAATACTATTTACAGCTAATTGGTCATATTTTCAAGTATTTTAAATTGTTATCAATAACTATTAATCAATTTTAATCAAATATAATTATTCAGTATCAATCACAGATTGAATGATGACATATCAGGTTATGAGTCATCATGATATATCAGTCAAATATAATAAACCCAATATGGAAATAATAGCTCATATTAAGAATTATATATATATCAATACCCGATATAGCAATAATGCTTATATTAATATCAATCTGATATTTTAAAGAGATATCAGTAAAATATTAGAAACATTTATTAAATCTATCAGTATTCTGATATTTATAATATATATATATTATATTTACCTGATATTTATAATCACATATCAAGAAATATTAATAAAATATAAAAATCTGATATTTCAATTAATGATATATCAGAATGCATTTTAGCATTAATCAAAGAGTTTCTTTATTTATATTAAAGTTTTAAATTCCTTATACAGTCAACCCTCTCTAAATGCACCCCCTCAGGACTATAGTGAAAATTTTAAAAAATGTGCATTTAAAGAGGATGTGTATTTAAAGAGAAAATTTTTATATGAATTTTATATGCTTGGAACTGAATAAGAGCGTGCATTTAGAGAGAAAATATATAGTATATGCATTTAGAGAAGATGCATTTAGAGAGGGTTGACTGTACATGTATTTTCCTATTTATAGGGATTATTGACAAATAATCTTTAGGTTTTTTTTTATCAATTTGTATTTTTCTAGTAATAAATCAGCCTAAAATATTATGTATAAGTATAATACAATCCCTACTTAATTCGTAAAACTCATTTTTCCATAGCTTAACATTATATATATTCAAATTATCTTTATTAATTTAACAATGAAACTGACTTTTATTATTATCTGTCTTCTTATACTATCTTATAAAGGCTAAATAATGTATTTTGGGACCTTCTTGCAAGTGAATAATATGTTTAAAAAAGAACTGAACCTGGTCAGAATAGATATCGATTGTATCATTATTATCTAAAATAAATTTAGACAATATATTCGCTGATTTTATATATTTTGCTGAAAATGTTAAACAAATTACCTTAACTTCAATTATTAATCTATCGAATTTAGTGACTTTCAGTTTAACTACTATTGTTCTTGATAAAGAATTATAAATATCTGATAAAGTTATGAAAGAGTGACCATATGCTTCATTATAGTACTCAGTCAGTAATTTTAATATATCTCGTAGTAGAATTACTTCTTTTTTTGCTTAAGTAATGTACTTGGAAAAGGATCTGATTTTATTTCTGCTTTTTCTTTTACATTCTTTAACATTGATAAAAATTTAAAATATTTTATCAGGTCATCATCATCATGAGCAAGACTACCAACTGTTTCTTTATAAGTGATATAAGGTAAGGTAGACACTCATAAAGATGATGATTTCCATTTGCATATGATTGCTCATCAAGGAAAGCATAACATTAAACAATTTTTAGTAATTCTGACTCAATATTCTGATTACTACTATGAAAAGATCCTGTAAAATAATTTGTATAGATATCAAAAATACTTATTATAGAAATAAAATATTATATAAATATGTGAAATATTAAATTACCTAATAGCCCATTCATATGTTCAAAGTTATAGCACTAAAATGCATATAATGGACTATAGCTAAATACACATTCACATATATGCAGACATAAATATATGTTTGATGTAAATTTTTTAGGTCTGTAACTATATTCGACCAGCTTTACTATCTTCAAAAGGCATTAATATGCCTTTTTCAGATCAGATTTTGAAATAATGCAGCATATAAGAATATTACATACTTGTACAAAAAAAATTAATATTTTTCTATCATTCTCTTTGAGTAGATCCCAAGTAATAGATGTGGTATATATCAAGATAAAGTTTTTTATTGATCGGCTGTAAAGCCAGAGAAACTATCGTCTATAGCATTTTACTTGGGATTTTCCCTATATCTGATGGTAACTTCATCTTATTTACATGCTTCTGTATAGTTGTTAAGTTTTCTGCCATCAATCGCTCTTCTTTGATTTATAACTAAATTACGATCCACTTTGCAATGCCTAAAAAAAGCAATGCATGGAATTAATAATAAGGAATCACACAGTGTTGAAATATGAAAGCCAAATTATTTCTGATCACTGTATTAGTATTTTAGACACATATTTCCTTTGGGCATCTTCAGTATTACATTCTTTCCATAAAAATACATTATTTCGTATTTTGTTAACATTTTTTGATTCAAACCATTGTTCTATATCATCAAATTTACCAAAGTTAGGATGATTTCTGTTTGCAAAATCAGCTACTTTTTTGCATCTATAACAAGCTATACATGCAGATATGTATCTACAGAGTTTTCTTACCACTAGTATATCACATGTGCAGTATATTATTGCTGTATATATAAATTTGTCAATAGAGCTTTCATATATTTTTTCTAATTTAAATTCTTCTCATAGCTCAATAAATTGATCAATTACCAGAGCTAAATAATGATTCAACTGATGTAATTTTAGTTTGTCAAGACCAGGAATTACTGCTAAAGTAATTATATTAGAAGAATTAAATCTTACACTTTAAAGTAGATTACATATAACTCCATACATTACATTTACACTATATTGGGAATTATCATAAGGTTGAAATCAGTCAAGGTTCAACATAATTTCCAAGTAACTATCTGATACTTGTCATCTGAAAATAATTGATTATCTGAATCTTTAAAAGTTTTCCAAATTCTCCAATTATAAATATCAGTTAATTCTTGATTATTATTAGGTTGATCTGCCTATTTTTGATATGATTCTTTAAATCCCTTCTTATTATATAAATGTTATAATCTGCATTTAATATTAGTAACAAGAAAAATAAGCAATAATCTAAACAATTTTTTTTGATTTGTAGGTATTTGCTTTATAACGTTAGCATTACAGGAAGTTTTTTAAATTAGCCATTATATGATTTAGATAATCTTGAAATATGCAAATAAAAAGTCTATCAGTTGGTAAATCCTTTATTGCAACATTTTTGCAAGTTACAAATTTAATTAATTGATCGCTAATACTGAATGATTTACATGTCATATATAAAATTTTTGGGAACTTTGAATAGGTATTTTTGTTAATCAAGATCAATATATATCTGACAAATTTTATAAGAGAGTCGGTAGCTGTATCAGGTAGCTGATACCTTTCCTAAAATTTGAAAATCCAATATATGATTCACGTAAATCACATTAATATTTGGAATAAGTATTTTATCGCTTTTATAATCGTATTCTAGAGCATCAAATTCGATATATTATCCTGAATCATTATCTTCAAATTTATCATCACTATCATCGTTAATATCAGATTCGTCAATATATCAGTTTTCGCTATTATATAAGATTTGTTTAACTCTAACTAACGGATATCTACCACCACCACGACTACTCTGTTTTTCTTTAGATTTTTTAGGGTTTTTAACAAGAAAATTAAGTTTTTCACTGCTGGATTCATTATTATTAATATCTATTTCATTTAGAGTTCTGAATGAGTCGAATTGAGTCAAGTTTAAAGATTAACTCTATTTAACTCATTTTTTTCAAGTCGAGTCAAGTCAAATTTATTTTATAAAATCTTTCAACTCGACTTAATTTGAGTTATATAAATTTTAAACTTGACTCAATTTGACTCAACTCGAGTTTAACTCGATTCAATTTTGACTTGAATTTATTTGAGTTGAGTTAAGTTCAAATCAAATTTTAAGTCAAATTTAAATTAACTTATAAATATTTAAATATGAAAAAATTTATTTTAAA